ACAAAGCGTGTTATTAAGTGGCTTCTACTTGCTTATGCCCTGTAGAGTAGTGATTGAGAACTTTTATTACTATTCACACTAATGAGTAATATATTTTGTCAAGTTACCTTTAACTATTTTGTTTCTGATATGATAAAGAACAGGATTTTATTTGGCTGCTCATACAAGCAAAATGTCGCAGTTATCGGAGGAGTGTGTAGATAATCCTTCTCATCAGCCACGGGTTTATCTTAACCGGGAAAATGATGTTTGAGGTAGTCGCTGTCTCAGTACCTCAATACTGAATGCCCAGCAGCTTAATTAAACACCTACATTCGCTAAACCCCTTCCCAGCTAGTACAGTGAGTTTGATAGTTTGAAATTTCAAATTCAAGACACATAGGTCTAGTGAAGGGGAACGTTTGAATTAGAACCGACACAATTTAACTATTGAAAAGACGAATTAATTGACGAAGACAATCAAAATGTTGCCATAAGTGCCATAAGTTTGAATAAAGATGTATAATAAAAAGTTTTGTTGTTAAAATGGGAACATAATTGTACTTCAATTAAAATTAAAACCAAGATCGTTTAAAAACGACTAGATCTGGTGGTCTAATGCGGGCGCCTTTAGCAGAGTAGAGGCGCATGGTTTCAAAAATCTTTCCACATCTTACTGCGGTTAGCAAAGATGGCTCTCATCGTAACTGGTCTTTAAGCATCTTACTCGTTGCTTAAATCCCTGTTTAATAAGGCGAATTGCTGGGTGCGATAATGGGGAAAAGCCATGAACCAAATGGATACGCGTTCGCTCATAATGGGGAAGTCAAACCGTTAGCGCTGGTAATCGTATGACGACTGGGTTGCTTTGTGCGCCACCTTTAAAGCCCATTTTACCTGGTCAGCATTACCGGTGGTTTGAAGATTAGTCCTTAGCATGTGTAGACTAGGTCACACAAATGTTGGATTCCTTTGGGTGGGAGCTGGAAATATTTCACCAGAAAAAGTGCATGTTTTAAAAGCACATAAGTGGTTTTTCAGACGTGTATCAATGCTACCTAAGTAGAAGGCGGCAACTGAAAGCAGGCACACATATGCTTATGGAAGAGCGATGCTGAAGAGTACTGCATGAACCTCATGAAATTCCGAGGTCAACAAGTTAATTTTATTTTGCACTTGTCATTTGCGCCTGCCACAGAGCAGGTGTCAATCTGATGCAGCTTTTACCAAATGTTAAACTACTTGAAAATCGAAACTACCTCTAAACTTCTTTTTATTCCGAAAAACTGAATTGTGAGCAAATGTAGTGCCAAACTTTGGCTGTCACTTCAGTACAAATTTCTCTGATACTCGATTTAAAGTGCAGCTCCTCTCTCGAGTTTGCATTTGTTTTTGCGAGTATACTATCTGAATTGTCAGACGAGATTTGTGCGTTATTTAATACAAACTATTAAAATCTCCTCTTTTGACCATCGAATTCTAGACGATTTGAACTTCTGATGCAATTTCATTTTCTTCAAGTGGGTTCCTATTTTCAAGTCACCACACGCCATCAATTTTAGTCTAGTTTTC